CTCCAGCGCTCTGGGCCGCGGCACCGCCTCCCCCGGCCGGCCCGGGCAGGGGGAGGGCCCGCTCACCTCGGTAGCGGCGCGACGCGAGGTGGCACGCGGCGAGCAGCAGCACGGCCACCAGCGCCAGCACCTTGGCGCTCCTCACGCTGAAGTAGTGGTTGATCTCCCGCTTGCCCAGGTTGTAGGCCAGAGCCGCCATCTTGGTTCCTCCATGACAACAGTGCGCGGGGGAGCGGGGAAGGGGCGCCGCGCAGGGGCAGCACTGGGGCGGCTGGAGCCGTAGCCAGCCGAGGAGCTGCCGCCAGTGCCCACGCCCGCCGACCGTGTCGCCCGCCGGGGAGCCCGAGCCCGCGGCCGCAGCGCCGCCGGCCTCCCCCGGGCCCTCGTCGGCCTCTCCCCAGCCCCGCCGCCGCTGCTCCGCCGTGCCGGTGCCCCAGGCGCCCTGGCCGCCTGTCTCCTCCCCTTCCTCCTCCCCGGTAGCCTCCTGCCTTAATAGAGGCTGCGCCTGCGAGGGGGGTCCGGATGCCCAGGGCTCCGGGGTCACCGGGCCCAGACGGGCCTCCGGGGTCACCGGGTCACGGGTGGCGGCGGGCAGCGGCTGCAGAGACATAGGGGTGCGGGGCGAGGGGCCCAGGGCCTGCAGACAGGGCTGGATGCTTGCTCCGGGGCTGCCTCTGGGTGCAGTTGACTGCCACCTGAGCCCAGGTTGGGGCAATAGAACTACAGTTCCGGAAGAAAAGTTCCTTCCTTGCTACCCTATCACACCCTTTTCTGAACTTTACTTTCTGAACCCGCCCCAAGTCCCCGTACTTAACGTCAGGTCACCTCAGCCTGTCTGGCCAGTTCGCCTGCACCTAGAGATGACTGGCCAGGTGTATTGGGATTGCTGTGAGCCCTAGCACTCAGCCCAGGCGGAAGACCTGCCTTCACTTTTTACTGCCCACTGCCTTGGGTTTGGTTCTCTTGAAACTTTTTTTCTTGTACTGCCCAGTTTGTCCAGTTGCAGTAGGCCTAAGTACATGCAGTACAGAAGAAGTTAGAGTCTCAAGTTTGTGTAGATGTCAATAAGAAGTGGATCCGATTCTCTTTTCTGTTTACATGTAGGGAGTCTGACAGTCCTTGCTCCTTAATGGTTTGCGATTATCCATAAAACAAGCACTCCTTTTCCTTTGAAAGGCATTGTTATCCCGACAGATAATATATCATATATTTAGTCTTGCGATGCCTTGAAGTTGAGAATGGCCATTGACATTGCGTTTAGAATGAGTCATTGGTAAGTTGCAGACATTCTCAAGTGTTCTTTACCACTTTCCCATTTAGCTGTTACCCGAGCTTGTGCTTATAGGTCCCTCTCAATATTCTAGAATGTTAGACAGAACGGATTGGAGAGATCTTGTCTAGTCATTCTCATCCTTTCCATACAAGGGCTTTATAAAATTCTATTTCCAACCTGGGCCTCATATCTTGAAAGATTTTTGTCACTTAAATGAAATCACATACATCACTGTCATGGATGTAATGGTAATAAGCAATAAAGTTAAATAAGTGTACAAATACTTCGGCACTGTTCCCTGCAAATGGTTGCTTAATTTTGGCTGTCATTCTTCACATCTGAAGTTGATCACATGCTGGCAGAATTAAATCAGATATTGTAACAACCAGATAACTGGCCTAACAATATGTGGTCTGCCAATCACATCCTAGACATTTCCATGATGTCATCAGTAGCAAATTAGAATTTCTGATTAGCCTTCAGTAACCAGTGTTAACCCACTGCGTTGGTGTAATGCTTGCCAGAAGTAAAGAAACTTGACATTTTCTTTAATTGCAATTTCCAGAAGGCTTTCTGAAATAGTGTAAATAGCTGGGAACCACTTTTTTTCCTTTCGTGTATTATGAAGCTAACCCCTCAGCCTATTCTCTTTTTTGGTAGTTTTGACCTGCCATTAGCTATTCCCATATTAAGTCGCTCCCTCCCTGTGTCACCTGTGAACTACCCTTCCCTCCTGCTGGTGGCCCCTCTTACAGAGTTCTCTTTTAATTAAAAACACCCATGGATTCTGTGTTCCTGTGTGTTTACTTCTTCATCTGTTTTAGAAAGGGTAGTGACTTGCAGTTTTCACTTGCTGTTTGTATTGTGCTCAGCATACTTCACAGTTGTTCACCAAGGCTATACAAAAGGAACTCTTGTTAAATACAAAGGACGCTATATTTCTTATCTTTCTGGACTGTGTTGTAGCTTCTGACACTGTTGACCATTCTACTTTATTTAGTACCCATCAAGTTTTCCTCCCCTAGACCCGTTCTTTAAATAATAGTGCTAGCCAGGTGTCTGTCATCAGCCCACTTCTGCTGCTTCCTGTTGTTTTAGTATCACCTCACTGTCAGGTCCTATCACTCTCCTGGGATCGGTTGTTACTTTCTACACACACACACACACACACACAGATTAGATCAGTCCATGTTCATCTCCTTACCACAGAGCTATCTACCTGCTGGGTCTCTCTACTAGGATGTCTCTCAATTAGCTACTTGTTATTTCAAATTTAAACCTATCACTGGCCTTCCACTTTCATCTACTTTTAACCCACACACTTCATCTTTTCACTATCAACTGAGTTACCCAACAAATGTTCACATTGTCCTTGTTCTAAATGATTTTCAGATGTGGCTTGATCTCCATCTCCTTGCTGTTGCTTTTTTCAATAGTATATAATGTTAAAACAAATTGTCATCCTTTGTTCCTTCCATTCTGACTCAAAGAAAATGTCCTCACTCCCCTTTCCCATGGCTGTCATTTTATCTGTGTCCACACCCTTTTTTATTGTTTGCCAAATCCTTCCTATCTTAAAGTCTCCCTTAGTACATCAAACAATTTTTCTTCTCTCTTAATCATCAAAGGTCTACCAGAAACACTCCATCACTCTCTCTTTTGGGTTACTTACTGCTTTTGGTTGGAGAGACAAGACCTTACTTTATAGTTCAGGCTGCATTGAACATGTGATCCTACAAGCATGAACCTCCTGAAAAGTACTAGGATTATAGGCATATACCACCATGCCTGGCTTTTTCTTTGAAACACTTGAGAAATGAAAAAAAGGTGACAATGTTTCTATTATTTTACTAAAACTGCCCTTAAAATGTTAGCCAAGGGACTGGAGAGATGATGGCTCAGCACTTAAGAGCTTGTACTACTCTGGCAGAGGACCCAGTTTTATTCCCAGCACTCACATGGGATGGTCACAGTTTCAGGGGTGATACTAACATGCACTTAACTCCCTCCCTCCTGTACACACATACACACAAAATCAAACATTTTTTTTTTTCAAATGTCCATCACAGCTTATGCTTCCTCCCTGTTCAGCATTGTTGAAATAGTCACTTTCTTCATCCTCTCGACTTTCATGATGCTGTCTCCTGGCTTTCTTTCCTTTCCCATGCTTCTCTTTTAATTTTTTTGGTCTTTTTGAGACAGGGTTTCCTGTAGCCCCAGCTGGCCTGAAACTCTATGTATACCAGGCTGGCCTTGAACTCACAGAGTTACACCTGCCTCTGCCTCCCCAGTGCTGGGATTAAAGGCGTGTATTACCCTGCCTGGCCCCTTTCCCAGGCTTCTCCAACAATACTGCCTTTTTTTTGTATTTTTACTTTTCGTGTTATTTTTTGTTGTTTGTTTTTGAGTAAGGGTCTCTCTGTTGCTCCTGCTGGCCTGGAACTTGCTATGTAGATCAGGCTGTCTTGATCTCTCAGAGATCTGCCTGCCTCTGCGTCTGGAATTGAGTGCTGGTATCAAAGGCATGTGCCACCACGCCCAGCCTAGTCTTGCTTTTTAAAACCCCTCATAGGAAATTGCTTTTCAAAAGATTCTTTTTTCTTTTTTTCCCCATTTGCTTGTTCTTTTTCTTAGAAAACCGAAGTTTCAAATTAGTGTCCAGTGTTACCTGTCACACCTGATCGACACATGTAACCTGGATTCTTCTCCAGACTTTTTCAACATACCTTGGGTTCAGCATTATTGATTATCTCATAGGACCTCAGAGGCAGGGTGTTGGGAAGCATTATTTTCTTTGCACGCCATCCATCCTGTTAGGTTTACTCTTTAATACGTCAGCCACTGTCCTTTAGGTCACTTTTGCTCTGCTCATCTCCTTTTCCTACTGCCACATAAGTATATGCTTTCAAAGAAAGGGTGTGTCTGCATCACAAGACATTGGATAATTGAAGTGCTGTGGTGGTTTGAATAAAATATCCCCCATGAGCTCCAAGTATTTGGACATTTTGTTCCTAGTTAGTGGCGCTGCTTTGGGAGTTTTTAGGAGGTGTGGCCTTGCTGGAGGAAGAGTGTCACTGGCATCAGGCGTTGCGAATAATCCTTCCTGGATTTCCAGTTATTCTCTGCATCCTGTACCTACTTGAGGATATGATCCCTTGGCTTTCTGCTCTGCCACCTTTGCCACCAGGCCTCCTGTGCCATTATCAACTCCTAACGCTAGAACCATAATCTCAAACTCATTCTTTTATAAATTAGTTACTTTGGTCATGGTGTTTTAGCACAACAACAGAAAAGTAACTAATACAAGCCCTAAGGTTTTTATGTAGCTTATTCTGACTGCAATAAAACATGGTTATATTACCGTTTAATGTGAGGACTACCCTTAGCACCATGACTTGGATTTACGTGTAGAATCATGTCAGGTTCACCAGAGGGAAATCCTTCAGGACTTTCTGTTTGTGGAGAGCTTGGCACTGACTCACTTGCATGTTCATTTTTTTTTTTAGAAGGTTGGGTCCATGAGCCCATTAAAGGGATTAACATATTGTCTGCACCAAATGGAAAATTACTTTAAAAATCTTTGGGGACGGACTGGAGAGATGGCTCAGTGGTTAAGAGCACTGGTTGCTCTTGCAAAGGACTGGGGTTCAGTTCCTAGAACCCATATGGTGGTTATCATCTGTAACTCCAGTTCCAGGGAATCCAACGCCCTCTTCTTACTTCCATGGGCATTGTATGACTCGGTGCACTTACATACATGTAGGCAATACACTCATACACATAAAAATAATAAATAAAATATTTAAAAATTCTTTGGGGCTGGAGAGATGGCTCTGGTTAAGAACACCCACATGACAGCTAACAACCATTTGTTGCTTCAGTTCCAGGGGATCTGATGCCTTCTGACCTCTGTGGGTAGTGTAGGACACAGGTGCACTTACATACATGCAGGCAATATGCTCATAGTCATAAAAATAATAAATTTTTTTTCTTGTCTTTTTGACACAGGGTCTCCCTGTAGCCCCAGCTGGCCTGGATTTGCTATGGAGACCAGGCTGGCCTCGAACTCACAGCGATCTGCCTGCCTCTGCCTCCCAAATGCTGGGATTAAAGGCACATGTGTGCCACTATGCCCAGCAAAAATAATAAAACATTTTTTAAAAATCTTTATAGCAGAATTATGAATTTGTGGTGAGTCTAATCGAACAGATTGCAAAAATCAAGAAACACAGAATGGAATCTCCTAATACAAACTTTATCCATTATATTACTTGCTTCAAGAATGTGCATTTGAGGGCTGGAGAGATGGCTTAGCCATTAAGAATGAGTGCTTGCTGCTCATTCCCAGCTTGGTTCCCAGCACCTATTAAGGCAGCTCACAACTGCCTGTAACTCCAGCTCCAAGAGAATCTG